AACCCTTCATTAGCAATGACATTTTTTTCTCTTGTATAACAATGGAGGAAAACTTACAGAGTAATGAAATGAACGTCGATCCTTCAGGATAAGTTGGAGCAATACAGCTCCTTATATTTTCTTACCCAAGGAAGCACATGTTGTCGCTCTAGAGCACATGAAAGAGATCTTTCTCACACGGTCGTAGGTCGCATTCATCACCAACCGTAAGCTCGAAAGAATCACATAATAAAAATAGGGCATTAAATTCAAAACCTTATATGGGAGCAGAGTAGTGATGCAGTAAAGTAATTATTTTTTTTTTCAATCAAGCCTATCGATGAGTTTTCAAGTCAAGTCAGACTCAACTCAAAATTAAACTTGTACATCATACGAGCTTGACTAAAATCTCAAACTTTAACTTGATAAGCTCGACTCATGAGCTCGTTAAGGAGTTGAGTTTGAGCAGACTCACAAGCCGAATTGACTCGCTTACACCCCTAACTACGATCCTTTGATCTTAATTGCATGACTATGGCCCTTCTGACCTTCATCTTCATTGACTTTGGTCCCTCCGACTAGTATTGCTCGACTATTAACCTCTGACCTTAGTTGTCTGACTACATTCCTTCCAACCTCCTACACTTGCCAACTATAGTTCTTTTGACCTCTGTCAACAACCGTTTATGTTCCTTTCAACCTTCGTCCCCAGTTGACTACTCACGTTCTCTCTGACCTTAATTGACCAACTATCGTCCATTCTTAATCTCTCACTCCTGCTCCCATGTGGTCATGTCCTAACTTGAAATCATTTAAACAATATATAACGAGCTAAAAAGCCATCAGGAAACTTAAACTCTATCATTGCTTCCAATGCAAGATAAAAGAATTAATATGCATGTTTCAGTTCTAGCTAATATCAATCATCACTTTATATAAGTAATAAAAATATCAAAAAAATTTAAAAAAGTAATATGCTCAATGAAGTAAAAAAACATATGATAAATAGTATCATTACCCAATGAATCATGTATATAAGCTATACTATGTTGTATCAATATTAATGCTAGTATGAGCTATCAATCTGTCAATCAAATTAATGTAATATCGAGTAAATATCATCATGAGTATAGTTATAAAAAATAAGACATAACATTTAATATTAATGTGGTGTTTTCGTCCATACATATGTTATATGTCATAGTTATCAATCTCTCAATTTTTATAGGTGGATTTCAATAATAATTTAAGATTTATCACCCTTTATTTGTTAGCATAATTCAATTAATTAGTTGCATGCTACATCTAAGATTACACCATCAATCTTTTATTTAAAAGAAAGTCTGTCAACCCATTCTCCTATGCAGTATATTATATTTTAAGAGCAAACCCGTATTCATTATAATGTTAAATGATAAACTTCCTTACGTACATGAAAATGTTATATTTTTTATATGCAATGAAGTTAATATCATATACAAAATTAAAAAAATATATAAATACAAAAAAAATCTATCAAATTTGTACGTACAAAATTCAAAAATATAAAAATGTATAAATGCATTTACTTCAAAAAATAATATATTTTAATTTAACTAGTGAAAATTTAATATTTTACAGTCAAAATATTAATTTTAATAAGATTTATCACATTTAAAAAGTTATATGATGAAAGTTTTAACAATGTAAACTTATCTTCGTTTTTTTGTAACTATAACAAAAATATGATCAGAAAAAATATTAAAAATATAAAATTATTGAAATTAGAAATATAATAATGATTCCTTATAGTGAGACAAACAAAATTTCAACAAGCTAGATTGAATAAATCATTCCCTTTTCTCTCTTATTTTCTATCTTCTCTCTTATTTTCACTCTCCTTTCATTTCTCCCTTATTTTTTCAGATCATTATATGTTAGTCGAATTGATTAATGAAAATGGATTTAAAAAGTTTATAATCATGTTTTAAGATATTTTTGGAAAATAATAATAATATAATATAATATAAATATATATTTTAATCAATTTTCAGTATAAATTTCATATAAAGATTTTTAGAGTTTAAAAATTTATAAAAAATATATTCACAAAATAATTCATTTTTTTTTTAATTTTAGTAAAATCGGTACGTAAAATGGAGACCTGACTGTCCCAAAATTTCCACTTTTTATTGATAGACATCAATTTCTTAAAGATTTTTATCAGTGCTAAAAATAATGAAAAAATCATGTAATTAAAATATTTTATTATCAATGTATAACAAAGACGATTTGTGATTTGGATTTATAATAATTATTTAAAAAATGCATTTACCTTGGATATTACACTTTCGACCTAAGTCGATCAACTACGATCCCTCTAACCTTAGTCGACCAACTACTGTCCCTCCACCTTAATCAACCAACTACAGTCCCTTCGACCTCTATCGCCCAACAACAATCCCTCTGACAAATGATACCCAACCACGATCCCTCGACCTTAGTCGCTAGATTGCCAAAATCTGACCTAGCCTAAAACCAAACTTGGGAAATTTCGGATTCAGGTCAACCCATTTGTCATACGTGTCAAGTTTATGTTTGATATTTCACCCCATTTATAAAATTGAGTCGGGTTCGATTTGACTCATAAGCTTGAAGCCAACCCGAGTTGACCCGAAATCTGAAGATGTGCCACCCTTGCAACCTCTAGCTCCCGTAATAGTGCAACCGACCCTCACTCATAATCACATAGGACCTGCTCGCCCTCCGACCCCTCCCGCGCTCACATCCACTATCAGCTACTCAGCTAGTCCATCCCCTCCCATGCTCGCGTGAGCCACAAACCCGTATAGGCATCTCAAACACGCTCATGCTTGTGTCTATGTGGATTGCACCCAAACTAATTCTCGTATTATGGGTTAGCGGGTGATCAGGTCGGGGGTTGGGTTGGAATTCTTGACCCAATTGCAAAACTAGGTTGGCTTTTAGGTCAACCTGTTTAGACTCGGGTCAATTCAGGTTGGACTCGAACCCAATCCGTTGGCCCGTTTTGACACGCATATTAGTCGGTTGATTACGACCCTCTGACCATTGATGCTCAATTATGATCTCAAAGACCAAGCAAATAGGCCAACGATCACTTAAGAACAACTCTAATACCATTGGATTCTTCCAACTATGTAATGTATTCTACATGATATATATTTGTTACATTGCTTTAACATCTTCCCTCGAGGAAATGCATCATTTGTAATAAATGACAAACACTAGTGGAGTCATTTTAACCTGCCCAAACCCGTGGTTTTTCCCTTTTGTGGGTTTTACACGTAAAAAATATGGTGTATCTTATGATTTTTGTACCTCTCTTTGTCATATTTATTTGTGTGCTAGATTTTCATACAAAAATAAGACACTAAACTCTAGATCTCTTTGCCTCCACGAATATTCCGTTGAGAAGTGATTCTTAGTTAGGGGTAATCTTTCATGTAACCTCAAAAGGTCATTCACATCAACGTCTTGGACACGGTTGAAATCAATGCATTTCCTCTATCTTTATCTATTATCACATCCAAAAGAAGTCATTCAATATTGAGGGCAACCTCACTGTAATACCAAAATGTGCATTATTCTAACACCTCTCAAGTCTTAACAATCAACAATTGTTGCATCAATTTCATAGGAATCATATTTGAATTGGGGGAAAACCTTGATTGTAATCCTCAAATACAATTGTGGTCAACTAAGTCCCTCTAATTTTTTATAGGTCAAAAAATAATTTTGCTCGTGACTATATATCTCAAAGCTTCTTATAAATACAAAAAAAATTTAAGTGAATCCTAAACTTTGTACAATCATAGTTGGACTTCTGCTCCACGGGCGAGGTTTTAGTCTCGACCTAAAAAGGTAGTAAAAGTTTAAAGAAAAAACTAATCTTTACCATCGATTCAGGAAACATGCTACATTTGTCCCCTCCCAATCAGTATAATATATCCAAGGGGGATTCGATTCGATTCAACATCTTTCATACAGATTAATGGCATCAAGACACGCTTTGACAAACAACCTCAGATGGGTTGAACATCATTGGTGGATTTATCTTGGCCCCTTCCACACGTGTTAAGCCATAAAGTTATACTTTGACAAATAATCACGAATAAGTCGAACATGTTTGTTGGATTTCTCTCGACATCTTTCATACAATTTAATGTCATCGAGCAATACTTTGACAAGTAATATCGAATAAATTTGTTTGAACCGGCTAAGCCGGTTCAGTTGAACTGGCCATAATTAAAGCACAAGTGAAACAATTAAGTTGAGAGGACAAAGCAACGAGTTAAGAGCAAGTGCGGGCGCAACAGATGAGTCTGAATCGAGTGAGTTAGCGAGGAAATAAATTCAAAAATGAAAAGTTGCAACTCTTTGGGAGGGATAACTCAATTTCACTTTTTCTAGTTAAGCCAAACGAACGAAAACGAATGTGACTGAGAGGAGGCATTAATAGAGGAAAAGGAAAGTGAATTAGGAGAGAAATAAAAGAAATTTGATAAAGAAGAAGAGCAAGATGCTTGTAAGAGGAGTTTGTTTTTCTCAAATTGCTAAAAACAAGTAATTTATTATTTTATTTTATTATTCCTTAGGTGAATGAGAAAGATTGGGGGAAGAAGATTTGTGCTTGGCAAGAGTAAGAAGAAGAAAGAAGAGGAGTGGAGAGTTTCTTTTTGATTGAAGGAAAAAATAATGATTTCTTTTCTTGTTCAAATTTGAATGATGGAGATTTTATTTTGTAACGCGCTATTCAAAAATTTATCTAGAATATTATGACTCTACAAAAAAGATAGATTAATTGGATTAATTGAGGTAATTAATATGATTTAAGAAATATTTAATTTGATATTTGTCTTTTACTTTATTATTAATATTTTATAATAAATTTTTATCTTCTAATTTATCATTATTATTTTTTAAGAATAATATATTAATTAGTTATTTCGGTGTCTTCTCATGTGCATTTTTTTTTATTTCGGATAATTACTGACTGGTTATTTTAGCGCAACTATTTCGCTATATCCGAAGCAACTTGCGATGCTCTTACGCGCAACACTCCCGCCTCATCACGGCATAAGCCAGTTCTCCTTCAGCTCCTTCCCTTCCTCCTGTTACTTCTCGCAGTCACCGGCTGCTATTCTCTTTCGTGCCGTCAAAGCTAAGTCTGTCGATGGCGTCCTCCGGCTCAGGCCAATAGCTCTGTCGTCTCGGTCATTACCCGTCGCCTCTCACGCGCTAGGTTACCGCTTCTCACCCCCTCGCGCATTTTAATATTGTGAAAATGTATGGAATTTCATGTTTTATCTAGATTTAAAAGGTATAGTTAGACATTTTCTTCACAGTTTTTTTGATATTAGGTTATCGTTTTGGATATGATTTTGTTGGCATATAGATGGACAGTTGAAAAAAGTATAGATTTATCATTATTTTTACGTGGCAATAAGGAAAGGAAGGAGGATTATAAATTGGTATGGAGATGATGTTTGCTTATCTTTTAGGATTAGATGTGGGAATACAAGATTCATACTCTCAGAGATTGTTGAAATCACGTATAGTCTCTCTATGTTTCTATCTTGGAGCTCTCTTGAAACTCCCACTCCCTGAACATGAAATGGAGTTGAGAAATTCTTTATACCCAAAAGGAAACAAGTTCCCTTCTGTATTTCATGAAGGGGATATTTATAGACATTGGAAGGGACTAGGGAGTGTTTTTAGATGTAGTCAATTAAGCGATGATAGCTCCAATTTATAACAAACTTGAATATGCTAAAAATATATTTTCCACTTTGATTTATTGGAAGCAGTGGCTGCTTTCGCCATCATCGGATGAATGTGAAGTTTGCTAACTCCCTTGATAATAGCCAACCCAAGGAATTCCATTTTATATTGCCAGATAATCATTGAGTGAGACCATGAATGCTATATTTGGTTGATTTTATCGCATCAATAGCCCTATTATTTTTGATCCAGCAATTATTATCCCTTATGAAATGGCGATCCAATGATTGGACCCAAATTAGTTATCTTAGGCTTGCACCCCCTTTAAGGTAACTCAAATATATGTTTAAATGAGAAAAGCTGTCTCAAACTCAACTCATTAATGTTGTCGTTAGTTGAGCTTATCGACCCAGAAGCTCAAACTTCACCTCATATTAAAGATCGTATAATATACGAGTTCAAGCTGGCTCAACTCATTGAATCGTGAGTCAATTCAATAAACAATGCCCCTATGTTTGATTTAGGGCTTGCTGAGTTGTGCATTCCTCTTTTTAAATGTTGCTAGTCTTGTTGATCCTTTTACAAGGAGCTCTTGTCATGATCTCCCCAACAATGTTGGTTCCATTGCTACCTGCTCTGATGAGATCCCTTTTCAACTTCTTCCAATGCTGATGGTCCCGTTGCGAATTCTCGAATGCTTAGCTCTCATAAATTCCATCTCCAACGAGCTCCCATATAGTAGGTTTATAAAAATTGGCTCGAGTTCGATTCCATTGTTATTTCAGCTGATCTTGAGCTGTCGTATGAACTCGAATTGGCTTGAGTTCGATCTTTCCATTGGGTAATTTAGTTAACCTCAACGTATCCCTGACTTGAGCAGTTGAGCTTGATTTGACTTGTTTGCACTCACAAACTACGGTAAAATCACTATTTTATATCTTTTTGCTTGAGTTCGATCTTTCCATTGGGTAATTTAGTTAAGCTCAACTTATCCCTGACTCGAGCTTGATTTGACTTGTTTGCACTCACAAACTACGGTAAAATCACTATTTTATATCTTTTTGCTCAAATTTTTTTAGTTTTGCATGATAATATTATTATTATTATTATTTTTAAAGGTAATCCTAAAATTACTTTGATGGAGAACTCTAGAGGTGAAGTGAATTTTAAATCGGTTTGATTAATACTCTCTTATTTGCCATATCCTTATTAAATCTTTTTGTTTCACATCTCCTTTATGATAATAGCGCTGGGTTAGTAGTTTTGTTTGGAACTCAAAACTTGCTTGAGTTTTATGTTAATTTTAAATTGAATTAATTTTGTCTCCAATTTGTTGGATTGCTGTATGAAAAGCTGTTGTCCATGAATTGTTGGATTGCCGTTGATGGAAAGGTTTTATTTATGAATTGTTAGATGAAAAGGTGCCGGTCGTAGATTCAAGATTTCAACACTCCCTCGTAAGATGGGTTGTGTATGTTGATTGTGCTCAGCTTGTTGATTAGATTATCAAAAGTTGTTTTGATTTTTAGGACTTGAATTTTGGATTGTAAGCGAGCGTGAATCATGGTGCTGACATGTTTAAAAATTTGCCTCGCTTTGAAGTTTTTTTTTTTTTTTTTAAATTAAGAAAACCTATATGAGACGTATATGACATCAATGAAGGTATTTAGCTCTAGAGACAATTTTGAATCTAGATGGTCCCCACACATTATGTCAGATTTTATCTAATGATTGAGAATTTTTTAGGTTTTATTGGGATATAAATTATTAGTGTGTTTAGTTAGATGATAAATTTCACAAAAAATATTTTTAGAATTTTTGTTGTGGGATAGAGGAGGGATTGTTTTTTTAAAGGTAAGTAAAGTTTTGGTGTACCTAGCAATAATGCCAAAGTCAGACATTACCATTATTATTTGAAGTGTGTATGGATTTTGAAGTAGGGGTTTTGGTGTACATGCAACCCGTTGTTCGAGCATGTACCTTACTCGATATATTCTTAATTTTCATGGATATCGTCAAAGATGTGCAATTTATCTGCTAATCTATTATATAATGCATTATTTCTTAATCCTAGAAATTATATGATGTATACTATGAATGTGTTTTTTTAATTATTTTTATGACACAGATATAGCAATATTTTTAAAGATATTGTAGATGTTGATATTTTAAGTCATGATATAATTTATTCTAATTTTTTTTTTGTTTTTTCTCTTTGAAAGTTGGCACCTTTTTAAAATGGATATCCCTTGTTTCTGGGAAAGGGATATGTATTTTTTGATTCAACATGGTAACAGGGATTCACACTTCTTAAAAATTTTTTGTTTTAATTTCAAAACTCATATTGTGATCAAGAAGTAAAGCGGACTAGACAAGTTAACTATATCTTACTAAATCTTAGTTTACAATGTATCGATACAGATACAGGGATATAGTTACACTACAATACGAACATGGGACTTGCTTTTTATTTTAATACAAGACACAGATATAGGGATATGGTTACAATACAATACGAACATGGGACTTGCTTTTTATTTTAATATAAGACACAAATACATGTTAGATATGTCAATAATATACATTTAAAAAAAAACTAAAAAATGATTAAATGATTATACATATTAAATAAATATAAAATACTTGCAATCTAATTTATACATTGATTTTGTTCTTTTACACAAAAAAAAAAAATCAATATTATAAGAAGGCATTTAAAATAAAGTTAATATTTATGCAAATTTCAACTGCCTTTCAAAAATAAAAACCTCTTATTTGTCTTTGACTCTCCACAGTTCCTCTATTTTTATCATCACGATATCCTTTAACTCATGACACACATATTTGATTTGTGCATTTAATTATTAGGTTTTTTTTATAGGATATATCAATGGTATTGCCAATACATATTGGGTGCATGATGTATCTTGCGTGTTGGACACTATATACTTTGATATTTTTAAATGTCAGCGCATAGGAGACCTTACTAGGTGAATGTTTGAAATAAGGCTAAGGTTTGTTTAGTTAGTGAATGGTTATGTTTTTACCTCTTTAGCATTTCTTTGTCTATGTTTGCTATTGTTGTTCCTTTTTGTCCATCATTGCTTGAACTTAAAGTTAGTTGCAGTTTGTTATTGTGGTTTATTCATAATTGATTATTTTTAGGTTCCCATGCAGGCACTTCTGGCAACATTGTTTCTGAAACTTCATCCTCAAACATCATGGATGAAAGCAGCTTGTTGATTGTTGGGCCAGGTGTACTTGGAAAATTGGTCGCTGAAAAATGGCAACAGGTTTGATTGTTAGTATGTTTTGCTTGAAAGATGGGACACTTGACCTGTACAATTTACGTTAACAATTATATAAATAAAATTCCCCGCACTATTTATTGACAAGCAAGTTGTGTACGCATAGTATTCCCCTACATGGTTTAGAATTTGCAGATTTATTGTCTTCCAATGTACATGTCATAGTACTTAAGTTTTAGGGAAAGAAAACGAGGAAAGGTTCTTTGTATGCCTCAATCAGAATATTTGCCAGAATAGGAGAAGTATTGATGTAATACAATGAAGATGAGACAAGAATTGCTTATACGAAATTAATAAAGTGTGAACTTTGCTCAACTAAGCTTAAATGGATGCGTATTCAAGTTAGATCTTAGGAAAATTCACGGAAGGACTAAGTAATGACAAGCTATTACAATAGAGATTAATAGGAAACTCGCAAAATTACATCATCAAATAAATGAGTAAAGCGAATGGCACGTAACAAAATCCACAGTTTAAAATTTAGATCATTCACCTTGGGATCCCTCACTTACACTCTTGATATTGATCGACTTAGCGAAAGTAGATTGCAAACAAGCTTAGGGATGCCACTATTAGACACGTGATGCCAAGGTGGCTAGTCGCCGGGGAAGTAGCCGGAGTTGGAGGAGCGGGTGGGTGTCCGGTGATCTTCCACTCTCCCGTAGGTCGTTGCTCGTCGATGACGTCCGCTAGATGGAAGATAATACGATCGATGTATTCCTCAACGACGTGGTCGAATCTGAATCCAACGTCGAAGAACGGTGATTAGATGACGTCGATCTCCCCTTGAGAGTTGAACACAAATCCGTGATCAAGCTCCAGATCAGCCATAGATAATCATAAAAGGGTTTTGGTGTTGTGGTGGTGTTATGGTGGAGGAGCCGCCACCTAGGAGACGTGGCCAAGAGGAGGGGAAGATGGGGGTTCGGGTGAGTTGGGGAAGAGAAGAAAAGGGGGGGAGAGTTCTAAAATCTGAAATTAATTTAGATTTTGAACAATGAGAGGGGGAATTAATTTTGAAATTCAATTAAGCCAATAAAGGAGGGGCCGACGGTTAGGAGAATATTAGAGAGGATTAAGTGGAGGCAATTAATGAAATAGGAGAGAGAGGGGAAGGTAATAGGTGGCTGACCATGTAGAGAGAGGGGGAGAGGGATTTGATTTAAGTAAGTGGGCCCCAAGGATTAAATAAAAGAGTAAATCAAAATTTGAAATTTAAATCATATTTGATTTAAATAGAGAGGGTTCCTAACTTAGATTTAGACAATAAGAAAGTATTTGAACTCAATTATTTAATTGAATCCCAATAGGAAACTGTCCTAATTGACTAAGACTTATTTTAGGAAAGTGAGTAATTGAATATTTGAAATTTGAATTTCAAATTTGATTGCTTGGGAGGTGGGCCGGCGGGTTGAGCAAGGGGAAATAGGTTGCTGGTGGGTGGAGGAAGGGGCTGGCGGCTGCTTATGGGTGTCCGGTGGTTGTGTGTGTGTGTGTGTGTGTGTGTGTGTGTGTGTGGTGGGGGGGGGTGTCTCTCAAGAAAAGGGAGGGAGAGTTCTAAAATCTGAAATTAATTCAGATTTTGAACAATGAGAGGGGGAATTAATTTTGAAATTCAAAATTAAGCCAATAAAGGAGGGGCCGGCGGTTAGGAGAATATTAGAGAGCATTAAGTGGAGGCAATTAATGAAATAGGAGAGAGAGGGGAAGGGAATAGGTGGCCGGCCATGTAGAGAGAGGGGGAGAGGGATTTGGTTTAAGTAAGTGGGCCCCAAGGATTAAATAAACTAATACAGGAGTAAAATCAAAATCTGAAATTTAAATCATATTTGATTTAAATAGAGAGGTTTCCTAACTTAGATTTAGACAATAGGAAAATATTTGAACTCAATTATTTAATTGAATTCCCAATAGGAAACTTTCCTAATTGACTAAGACTTATTTTAGGAAAGTGAGTAATTGAATATTTGAAATTTGAATTTCAAATTTGATGGCTTGGCAGGTGGGCCGGCGGGTTGAGCAAGGGGAAATAGGTGGCCGGTGGGTGGAGGAAGGGGCTGGCGGCTGCTTATGGGTGTCCGGTGGTTGTGTGTGTGTGTGGGACGGGAGGGGGGGGGGGGGGGGGGGGTGGGTGGGGTTGGGTTAGGGGAGGTGGAGGGCTCGGTTTAGGAGGAGGGTGATGGGGTTGATGAGGCCGACGGGTTGAGCAAGGGGAGGAGGAAGGTGGATGTGGTGGAAAGAAAGAACCGATGAACCGCGAACCTTGGAATCCACCAAGATTGATAGGTATTACTCTCACCCACTTAGGGTTGCTCCTCTCAAGAGCCCACCAAGAGATCATGCAGGAAAGTGAAAATTTCATTCAAATAAATCATCATCATTACAAAGCGAAGATACCTTAATATATAGGCCTCAATGAAAGAAAATAAGAAAGACACAAATGCCCTCGGGGCTACAATAGCGACTCACTACCCATAGGGGTAAACTAGGAAAATAGAAAGAAGAAAAATAAATAAATTACAAAATATATCAAAAGTACAGACTCTGGATCATAGCCGTCGATCTACGACTCCGACGATGGTACACATGTTGAAATCTTGGACTGATGTCCTCATCAAGTATACTGCTTTATACAATGTGAAATTCACATGTAAGTTGCTCGCGCTTTAGAAATATTTGCAAAATTTGCTTTGCATTGTTGAGATGTTGATAGAGGTCCTGGAACAGCATGGCATCTGATTCATAATTTTTTAAGACTGCTCAAAAGAATGTTAAGTCTTCATATTGTAGATTTGTACGGTGCACAATTGATGTGCCTATTCACCTTGACCGAGCAATTGCCGCCTCATCACGCTAATATAACATACCTATACCAACGCATTTTACTTTTGAAACTTAAATGCTTATTCTTTGCCTTTGTCCTTCTAATTTACCTGACTTTGTAGCCGTATATTAATTCGTAATTAAAATTCTACGTTAAAGTGAGAACTCTTATACTTGTTTGTTTGCTATTCATCAAATAGGAGCAATCCTCGTCATGCTTCAGAGGAGCCTTTTTCTTTTTTAGCAAATTGTTTTTTCTTTTACCGTCCAACATAATAAAAGTTAATATGGCGCTTTAGTTATGGGTTTAAAGGAACTTCCATTTTATTCTCTTTGAACAGGATTACCCTGGCTGCCATATTTTTGGGCAGACAATGACAACAGAACATCATGATGACTTGGTCAAGCTTGGCATCAAGCCATCTTTAAGTGGAAGAAGTGAAAGAGTGTATCCTAATATTATTTTCTGCGCTCCTCCATCTAGGACTACAGATTACCCAGGTGATGTTAGGTAAATGTTATTCGACTTACACATCTAATTCTGATATCTAGTTTTCATTGATAAAGAAGCGCACGATTCATACTGTTAAGTTCAATTGTACAAATAATTCTTCTTTTACTTGAGATGCTGTGTCTTTGTTACGTGCATCTATAGATGTTAATGTGCCTATGCTGTCTAGCTCATGTTTCTGATGCTTGAGGTTGAAATGGCATGACAAGGCCACATGCATGTATTATATCTTGGCCCACATGATGTTTAATAAAAACTTCTGCAGTGCAATGAAATGGCATAAATGAGAATACAAATTTTCGTAGTCTGGTTTAGTACTCAAAATTTTATGTTCGCATAAAAAAATTCCGTGAGAGGCTATTTGCTTTGCTGTTTTAGTGGTGAAAAGTAAAATTCATGTGGTTGATTTTTTTAGCTTTTGTTTTGAAGTAAAACAAATTCATATTAATGTTGCGAGGAATTACCGCACAAATGACATTTTTGATGAATTTAGAATTTGCTCAATTAAGATGTATTAAGAACATTGCTTTTGTGCGTGCATCCCCACGTCGCTTACCTAATCGTTGATGACCCTGCAGCACTCTCATGTGGCTCATGCAGTCGTTAATGACCCCATTATGCTCCAGTTGGTGGCCCCACCGCACTCCCGCTGCTTGAGATCATGCGCTTGCACTCCCACTGCTTGCGACCATGCCTTCGATCATGCGCTTGCACTCCCGCTGTGGCCTTTGCCATCAACCATGCCTGCGACTACATGCTGACATCCCGCTCCTGTTTGCGGTTACACGACTGTCTTCACTGTTTGCACTGCATGCCATCAACCTATAAGTGCCCTGTGATTGATTGATTTTTCTAGCCAACTACCTAAAACATCAAAATGCATTATAATTAATGTACAATGCATTTGAATTACAGATTCATCCTAAATACTTACAGCCAAACTGCCTCTGAATCAATTTTGAACTTAGAAAAGAGTTATTATGTCTTATCCGAAGATAGTTTTTGATGTTAACACGCAGGTTAAATTGACTAATGCAATACATACAACTGAGCTGTTATTTTGATTCCAAAATCTAGCTCAGTGGGTCTCACATGGTTATCAAAGAAGTGAAGTTCAGCATGATGGGAAAATTGGCATTTTAAATCGTCAGTAGGAAAATAGTTGAAATTTGTGTCTAATTCTGCCTTGTCATTTTATGTTCATGCTTATTCTATATCCTTACCCTTGCAATCTTGTTTTGCTTCAGGCTAGATTATTTTCTGTAGCAGAGACATCATCTAGGTGCATGAATTTTACAAAAACAAGTGTTTGACATAAGCTGAGCTAAAAGTATATATTTTTTTGCAGAGTGGCCCTATCAAACTGGAATGGTGAAGGTTCTTTTCTATTCACATCAAGCACCGCCGTATATGACTGCAATGACGAACAATTGTGCGATGAGGTGCAACATCTACTATATATGCATTGTCCTGCTGATATTATTTATTTTTTAGGGTAAGATGATGCAATTTGAAGTCATTCCAACCTCAACTCGAGATTGAATGCATTTTTTTGGGCTTGAGATAGGCTTGTGGATTGAATTGTTTCAATCTCATGATGGCTTGGTTCATATAAGCCCAATTGTCGAGTTGGCCAATTCACAGGCATTTCGCTCCTTGAAACCTTAAGTCATTTAAGTAAGCAAGCTTACCTATAGAAAACATCCAGCATTTTTCTGATCCCGTGATTTGCCATCTCATGCTTTCCTGTTATATGGATAGCCATTGAAAAAATTTAGTTGGGTGAAAGCCATTACTCGGATCTTTTATTTTATGCAGAAATACATTAATAAATGAAGCATAGTTTTCAAATTGTAGCATTTAGAAAAAAATAAATTAATAAATGAAGCATTTAGAAAAAAATTTAGTTGGGTGAAAGCCATTACTCGGATCTTTTATTTTATGCAGAAATACATTAATAAATGAAGCATAGTTTTCAAATTGTAGCATTTAGAAATACTCGAGCTTTCTTGACACGTGGATGCATACTTTTGTTTGAATTTTTTGTTCTTTTCGCTACAGAGATCTTGACACTTGGATGCATACTTTTGTTTGAATTTTTTGTTCTTTTCGCTACAGAGAAAGGAACTCTAGGAATCCGAAAATTCCCATATTTCAATTCTAAAATAATGAAAAGCCTGAGCTGCAAGAATTGAGTGAATAGGTGATAAAAGCTTCATATTTTGTAAACGGTTATCATTCTAAAATAATGCCAACTTTGACTAACACATTTAACAAGATTACGATACTTTAGACGTCAAGTAGAATTATAAAATATGACCAGATTGATTTTTCCTTAAGATAGTTAAAAGTTTTTCCATGCTTTATTGTGGATCATTATTGTTCTCACAAAAATTCTATGGGTTATATCATATTTTTTCTTTGGATCATTATTGTTCTCACTTCTCTTCACACAAAAATTCTATTGGTGATGCCATATTTTTTCTTGCTGCCTTTAGCCTTGTCATCCGAGAAATGGTCCTTATATACTTAATTAAATTTAACTTTAATATCTTGGCAGAGGAATGGTTTGACGTAACCAAGGACCCAAGCCAAAATACTACGCTATGAGCTAACTTCAACTATCTCTTCAGAACATTTCAGAATAAATGTTTTTCATAAACTTGCTAATTTCTTTTGAGACTAGCCAAGTCTACTTACGCTCTGTTTGAGACGGATTTTTTTCTGCTTCTTAAAGCAGCTTTTTAATACAAAATTTTTTAATTTTGTACTAAAAAGCTGCTTTAAAAAGCAGAAAGAAAGCCGTCCCAAACGAAGCCTTATTCTAACTATGCAATTTGAGCCAAAAAAATTTCTATGGTTAAACCGTTATAGTTTAAAAAATGTTAAATGGCTATGACTGTTACTGTAAAATGCCACGCATTATTTTAGTCAAGGTTAAAAATGGTTTGTCTGTGGACTGTTACAACCCTTTCAAAGTCATGGCAATGAATTTTCTTAGCGAGTAGGAGTCAAGTGGGCACGGAATGTTGACTTGAGATTCACTTGAAATTTTGTGTGTGAAATTCTTCATATATACAGAAGTCTTAGAAAATTAATAGTTTGGTCCAGATCCGCTGCATAGTCACTTACCGTACATTTACATGGACACTCCTTTAGGATTGTATTCTATATAAGATGTTGAGCCAACTTTTTGGTGAATAGTTTCTATTGGGATTTCTTTTGAAAGATAGTGGAATGAAGAAGTTGCCTGATTACAACTGTGTCCAGGGTGTTAATATGAATGCTATGAATGTCCTTTGAAGCTTATAGCAACGGTTGCCCCTATTTTTGAATTCTTATGAAACTAATATATAAGTGGATGGAAGAAAGGAGTTGCTCAATTACAACAATAATAAATTGCATGTTGACGTGAATGCCATTTTGGAGGCTATAACCAAGTTTACCATTAGGTGTCGGAATCAATGAGTGGGTGTGGAACGCATTGTGCACCCAACAGTAGATGCGGAGATACTCTCAAGTGGAGTTTGAAGTTTGAATGTGTGCCAAAAAAGAGGTGCAAGAGCCAAAAAGCAGAGATGGTTCATCCACGCGAGGCCTCATGTGGGGTTGACGCAAAGTTATGGAGCGTAGGGAGGATGTGCTCCATGCACATGTGCATGATTTCTTGCGACAAAGCCACTCGTAGGTGCGATGCCAAGAGACAAGTGTAGTGAAATGTATAATCTTAATTAAGCTTGTCATTATTCCCCACCATTTGCTTTAAACAAATGACATTATACCTTTTCATAAATCTCATTGATGATTCTACTAAAATGAAGTGTTATTGAGCCTACCGACTAGCTTTAACTGAAAATGACCTATCATGATCAAGATAAGTAGTAATCATGTGGTTTGCACATATGTAAATCCTCAAACCATAGGATGAAATCTTTATATAGTTTCTAATATGATATCCAAGATGTCTTCAAAAAATTTAAATTAGAATCACTCGAATTTGATAGAGCTGGGATGGAATTTTGGAGTCAACAGTGGGAGAACAATCATAAATTTTTCCCACTTATAACCAAGCAAGCTCTTAAATGTTTATGTTTTCTGAAATTTGGATAAAAATTTGGACAAAAAAATTAGTCTATGTTTAATGTGGACATTTATCCAAGAATAAGCTGATGTTTTGTATGTAGATAACATCTTCTGGATTAGCAACATTTGTTTTATGTATTTTTCTTTTAAGTATTTGTTTCTAGAAACTTCCTTAAAGCTTTAGTTCATTAAACAATTTGGTAGCTCCTGAAATGATGAAAACAATAATTCTCTTTATTGATTCGGTTCTTTAGGACTACCCTGTAGTGCCAATTGGCAGAAGCCCTCGAACAGATGTTCTTCTTAAAGCCGAAAGTGCAGTATTGGAGGCTGGTGGTTGTGTTCTGAGATTGGTAGGACTTTATATATCCTTTTGTACACTTAGGTTTTATTTGGGACGACTTTCTTGTTATTTCTTAAAGCAATTTTTTAGCGCAAAATTTAATTTGTGTACTAAAAATTTGTTGTAAGAAACAATAAAAAAGCCCTCCCAAACGAAGCCTTAGTATTTCCTGACAAAAACTATGTTTAAGTATAACTGGAATTTTCATTTTGCTTAATGGGTCGCTGTATTTCATTTTGTCTTGCACTTTCTTGACCATTAACACAGCGCTGATAGAGGTGCTCATGTTTATTATCTAAAGAAGGGAGTAGTTGACGTTCATCCAGACGGTATTCTCAATCTCATTCACTATGAGGTCATAAATTTGAGCTGCTATTCCATTGATCTTGAATTATTTTATTTTCTTTAAATATAAAATTTGAATAATCCATCTTCGATGTATTAATTCACTCCCTGTCTAGTTTTATAGGTGACTTGATATCTTTCTTGTATTGTTTTTTGAATAACAGGATGCAGCCTCCCTGGCTATTGCAATCATGAAAAGGAAATTACGAAGTAGAATTTTCCTGGGTTGCGATAACAACCCTATATCCAGGTGTGTACGCATATGCAGAAGTCAAAATGGTTCTGGATTATTTTTGGGAGTCTGTTTTAATCTGAAATTATCTAATGTGTTCCATTTAGGTTTTGTTTGGGACTACTTTTTTACTGATTCTTAAAGCATTTTTCTTGTACAAAAATTAAAAATTTTATGCTAAAAAACTGCTTTAGGAAGTAATAAGAAAGCTGTCCCAAACGAAACTTTAATCTATTTATTGATTGTTCAAGATTGAACGATCCTTCTTGAAATTGATCTAAAATAGTTCAAAAGGATTATTTTGAATAATATTTGAATAGCCAATGGACTAAATTGAACACATAGATGTTGGGATAAAAATAGTCCCATCTAAATTGTCCAAGAACTTTTTTGTATATATGGATTATAGTGTGCTATGATATCAATTGTTTTGGTTTATTTAGGAAAGAGATTATGGATTGTGTGAACCGGAGTGGAAAGTACAGCGGCAAGTTCGACGGCTTTACAGGTGAGCTGACCTTTTCTGTTTCATATGCCTCTATATTAGCTAAATCTGGTTCCTTCTAAGAAAAGAAAAAAAAAAAATCTTAATTCCAATTGGAGGTAATATTTCTTTTTATTTTAAACTCCCATTTTCGTTTTTTTTGTTTCAATTAATACATTTATAAAAAAATGTATAATGTATTAAAAAATTCATGTCATAATTATTCAACATTTTACGTATGATATTTATTGATTGATTAAAAAAAAGCATATGGTAAAGTTTCAAAGTAAGTGCTCTCGATAGTTTTAGAAATGAAAGGAGTTAATAATATTTATATTCAAACCATTAAAGATATGTAGGTAAAAAAAATCTTCAATCAATTTCTGCTCAACCAAACGAGTGAAAAGTAAGTTCATTTCAATTCCGAAACCATTTTCATTTCAGCTCTTTCAATTTATTCCACCCAAACTGAGCTGCTAAGTTTGATCATGGATGCATGCAGGCAACACTGATAAGCCTGGGAAGAAGATGAATAACTCCAAGACTCGTGCTGAGATTGGATGGGAACCTAAATATTCAAGCTTCTCTCACTTTCTTGATCAAGTCAGCTAATCTCAGACACCATTCCTTCCATTTCAGAACAAATCTAAACTTTCTGTTTTTTTCCCTTTTGTTATTTGAATGCACTAAAGTTTATACTGCCATATAATTTCTCAAAAGGTTTGCCAATTTAGTTTTTGATCCCATGCTATTATTGATCATCTCGCTTGTGATTAAGGTTTCGTTTGCGACGGCTTTCTTACCACTTCTTAAAGTAGTTTTTTAGTACACATTAAAAATTTTGTATTAGAAAGCTACTTTATGAAACAGTAAGGAAGCTGTCCCAATGAAGCCTAAGTTTCTAAATGAGAATTGAGGTTTCGTTTGAGACAACTTTTTTACGGTTCTAAAACAGCTATTTAGTACAAAAATTTCTAATTTTAAAATTTTTTGTTCAAGAATGCTGCTTTAAAAAGCCATAAAAAGCTGTGCCAAAAGAAACCCGAGTCGAGCCATCTTATGAACGAGCGATCATGATTTGAATGAGATTTTTACAGCATAATTGGTAAGAAAAATTAGATCAATTAGTTGGGAATTTGAAAGCAAATTTGTCTAATTTCTGTTGTGCAACGAAATTGGATCAAGCTGAATCCGTGATCTGTGATGCTTTATTGTTCTATGTAATTTCGGGAAAATGGTTTTAATTTTGTTATATATTTTCATTTTTATTTGCCTCTTTTACTTATCAAGCTGCTTCCAGATCACTGGCTTTGAAATATCTGTGCATTCTTCAAAATACTGAAAATAGTGTAGCTTTTCTTATATAATTAATTAAAAGCCTTGATTATATTTTTGATTAAAATGGATCTCATAGCTAATATGATATAAAATTAATTTTATTTTATTTTATTTATCTCAAGTTAAATTCAATAATTATGATTAAAATTTAGTGGTCCAAATATTTTTTAATTAAATGTGTTATTTTTATTATGGTAGTGTTTTTGAACATCGATCTTATTAATGATTAAAATTTTGTTTTATTTGGGATATTTTTTTAACATTGTTTTTTTATTGCTTTAAAGAAAATTTTATACATTGTTTTAAAAAATAATAAAAAAATTGTTTTAAATGAAGCTTTAGGTTTAGTTTGTGATAGTTTGTTTACTGTTTTTTAAAATAGTTTTAATTATTTTTAATTTAAAAAATTTATATATTAAAAAAGTATTTAAAAATAATAATAAAGTGATCTCAAATAAAATCTTAATAAGCAATGCTAACTTCTAAATTATAAATTAAAAAAAAAACCTTTCAATTATGATCTATAAGTTTAATAACATCAGTTTATTTTTTGTTTAACTATTTCATAAGTGAAGCACCACATAAGATTATATTTGTAGAAAAATTATTTTGTGCGGATTCTGAAAGTTGTTCTTGTCGTGTATTGGGTGACGTGATGAGCTTTGATACATCTCTGAATAATTTAGGTCCGTACAGAATAATTTCTCTTTAAGCAATTTTAAGCGGTCAAAATCAAAATTAACCCATTAGTACGGCAAATTATTGGGTCAGGTGATCGAACGCGGAAAATAAGTTCGGACATCCAATAAAAATTTGCCGCGTCACCTTGCGCTTTGGTTGCGCTTTAGTTGCGTTTTTTGACTTGCACTTTAGTTGCGCTTTACCTGCGCTTTAGTTGTGCTTTACTTGCACTAATTTTAAAATAATATTTTATTAATATTCCAACCTATCTCTGCGTTCTGTCACCTGACCCAATAATTTGCCCATTAGTACAGATTTGATCAGCTTTCGAGTGAAGGCCAATAGATGCACGTCTGCCTCGCGATTCAGGCCAGGAGATAAACTATAAAAAGTTCTTCAAATCTCATTAAAAAATAAAATCTAGCCGAGTATTTCGATTGATTTAACTCTGTGGATAATTCCATTTTGACACTCATTTTCTTTCAATAAATTACATAATTTCAATCCAATGGACTTGGGATTCAATGAATGTAGCCATGAAACAGATTTATAAATAATATAAAAGAGGTCAGCTCTGTAAGTCGCGAAAAAGTTTGATCAGAACTTCCAGTCGAACTAAGCAGTCCTATCGAACTTGTTGTCTCTTTTCTCTCAGGTAAGGGTCGGGAAGTTCTTGTCAAAAGGGAAAACAAAATCTCATCATCGCGATCGAATTGAAAGGTGTTCGAGTATTTGTACGATCTTTGTCAATTGAGTTGTTGTTTTTCGTTTTTTAGCGCAGGCTGTGGTTCTATAGAGAGTAGGCATGTCGACGCCGAGGAAGATGCTGATTGATGGGGAGCGGGGCGGTGCTGCTGGCGCAGAGGATGAGAGCTACGATTTTGATCTCTTTGTGATTGGTGCCGGGAGTGGTGGAGTCCGCGCCGCTAGAACTTCTTCTGGCTTCGGAGCCAAGGTCAGCTAAATTTTGGTAGCCCTATTTTGTAAACGAGACCTCTGATTTTTTGGGGTATGTGAAGTTAGGTATATGACAAGTCGAGGTAATGTTCGAAAACGCGAAGGATCGAAAAATGTGTTAGATGCATTTTTTAAGTTGTTTTTTTTTTTAACCTGAGTGGGATTTCTTTAATTTTTTGGTTGATGAGTAAGGCTAATGGTTAGTTGGAACAAGTGTTACCTATATTATTTACTCTGCCAACCACTATTTTGAGAATTGGAGATTTAATTTCCTGCACGATCTTCATTTCAAAGTCAAGAAGGAATCTCCAAAGACTTTGATATGATTTGGAAGAGTTTTAGCAAAATCATGTTTAGATTTGGAGTCAAAATCTACTGCCAAACTTAGGGGCTGTTTGGTGGGCCGGTGGCAGGATTTGAGTAGAATTTAAGCAGGCTTTAGGTTAAATCCTGCCTAACAACAAAAAATTTCATGCATTTCTTTTGTTATATCCAAAAAGGGGCTTTAATAACGTTATCCTGTTCCATTTCTTACAACGGAAATTGTGTACTGTTTCAGGTGGCTATCTGCGAGCTTCCATTCAATCCTATTAGCTCTGAAGTTAATGGAGGAATTGGTGGAACGTAAGTTTTATAATCCTGTATAAGTATTAATACTTCATGGCAATGGTTCTTTTCTTTTGATTAGGACCATACAAATGAATTGTTCATTTCTTGCTGAAGGGTCTATAGGAGTTGCATGTGCCTGTGTGCTGTAATTGTTGTTTCTTCTGTTTTCTGAATTCACCCTAAGTGACTACTCTGCCCAATAACTTGATGCTGCAGATGTGTTATTCGTGGTTGTGTTCCTAAAAAGATATTGGTGTATGGAGCACAATTTGGAGGTGAATTTGAGGTAAACCTTATGCTTATGAAATAACTTTTCACTAAAGTAAACTACTGATGATGAACATGTTGAATGCCTTTGAGCTGATAACCAAGAAAATACTTACGTTCTGATGAAACAAAAATGTAAGCATTTGAAGTGATTAGACTTTGATTTAACATTTTATTTCTCATACCAACTTCTTTCACTAAAGCTTCGTGATAGGAAGAAACTAATTGGTTCATATACAGGGCATAAAATAACTCGTTCATGATGGCAATTCCTTTGTGTATATGTTAATTCTAGATGTAAGTTTGTCTCTTGATTAAATGTAGTTGAAGGTGAATAGATCAATAGATCAACACATGCATATTCACAAAATTTAATGGAAATATTGTTGACCTTGAAATTTTGTTTAAGCTCTGTAGTCATGCACACCTAAAAAATTGTCACTCTGTTGATAAAGCCATGACTATTGAATTTATTGATGCATAACAATAAATTCGCTGCTTTTTGTTCACTTACAAATCAGTTGCAGCGATCATCAAAGTTGGCATTAAAATAAATAATTATTCAATGCTAAATCTTTGAAAATAGGAAATAAATAAACTCATCCAGGTTGACTTCTCACCTAAACGTTAACTTGAATCTTGATGACGAGCTTGACTCATTATGTTATCTATAGAGTGTAAAGATACGTATTCACGTGTTTCTTTCTAAATGCTATCTAACTGACATTATAGATTGCAACTAGTTTGGGATGATTGATTTGATGCGTTCACTTAATCTTCACACTTGATCAATTTTGCGGTACCCACCACTCCACCTTGTTGGTTCCCACAATCCACGTTCGTTCCTCACGACACAAAATTCCCTCAGAGGCACATAACAGTCTCATTCAAACTGATCTCTCTGTGCCGAACAAAAAAGAAGCCAAAGCCCCCGCTCCTGCATTCTCTTCTTGTATATCTCTTGGTCTCACGCTCGAAGTCGAACGCCGACCTAGCCTCCAATCTCCCTCCTCCATAAGTCAATCTCCCTTTCTTCCATCCACATTGAGCTGCATGCAGGTCCCGAACCGACCTTCGATTGTCCTCAGCGCACAATTCTGACCCAAACAACGCGTGGACGAGCTGCACCCATTCTTCCTTGAAGCCGACACCAATCCCGAACTCAGCCACAAGAAACCCTTCCACTCGACCTCATCATGTCGTCACACCCAAATACCCCACACGAATGACACCGTGCCATTCAGCCTTGATCTATTCGACTTGGCCTTCAATCGTGTCTTTTGAGCCGGTGCATATGCCCAAGCATGCTCTTTTATTTGAACTATAAGGAGGAAGGAGTATATATATATATATATATATATATATCGCTTTATTCTAAGCCACTAAAATTTTAGCTTGTTTTTATATCAACTTTTATTTAATAATTAGACAAAAATGAAAATATTTTCCATCTATTAGGCTAATTAACTAATTTTAAAGTAGATTTAAATTCAATTTTTAAATTAAAATTTGATTGAGCAATTGATTAATATAAAATCTAATTAAAACTTTAATTAATTTAAAATTCAATTTTAAAATTAAAATTCTAAATCTTTTAATAACCATTTGATTAATTAATTGAAATCTCTTAATTAATTAAACTTAATTGATCAAACAATTTAATTGATTATTAATAATTTTAAAATACAATTTAAACTCAAATTTTAACTTAAATTAAATTTAAATTAATTGAACTTTTAATAAAATCAAAACTTTAATCAAGCAAATAAAATTTAAATTGAAATAATAATTAAATCAAAATTAATTTAATAATTTAAAAATACATTTAAAATTTAAATTAAAGAACTGAGCTTTTAAATTAAAAATTTAACTAAAATTAATATTTAATTACTTAACCTAATTAATTAATGCAATTTATTCAAATATAATAAAATGAAAGAAAATATAGAAATAAATGTTTTCCACTGTCCAACCTAAGTACAAGCTACTAACGCTCAAACACAAACTCTCAAACTGCTCTTCAACAACAACTCTCTGAGCAGAACAAGCAAACAACTCTCTAAACAAGCTCTTAAATCCTTAGCACCCTTGAGCTCTCAGTAACAGAAAGTTGTAAGCTACCTATGTTGTAAGCTACCTATGAGCTCTCTAAACCTCTACAAAGTATAGCCTCTGTTGCTGCAAGCTTCAACTTTTGTAAACTGCTGGTCACGAACACCTATAAACAAGTAAACGAAAGTTAGCACCTAATAAATAGTGATGGGAAGAGTAAAGCTAACTATTGAAACTAGCTGCTAAAGCAAGTAATGAAAGAAAAAACAGGGCATTATAGCAGAACGCTAGTGTCAGGCATGTAAACAACTGAAGCTACAGTTTAATGCCAAGCTAGCAAACAACTAAAAACTAGAGCATATATGGGTATATTCCAATCTACCCTAAATAAACACATGCTACTTCTAATAGAGGCAGTAAGACCCACTCAAAGACAAAGCTACAGCTATAGGCATGATGCTAACGCTGGTGTCGAGGTAGTAAAGGGTGCAAAGTTAAATGTCTCTTGTTAAAACCCCGTTAAATTAAATCCCCGCTAACCTAAGTTCTACAGGCCACTTTTAATAAAAGTCGTAAATCCCACCTCAATTAGGGTGTTAGGGAAAACTTTCCCAGAACAAACTAAACTCTTTGGGTAACCTTTAATAGAGGCTATAAGATTCGTTACATGAGCTACTTCCAAAGTGAAGCAGTAAGACCCGCTTTTAACCCATGCATGAGCAACCTCTAATAGAGGCCGTAAGACCCACTATTCGGGCTACTTCCAAACAAAGCTATAAGACCCGCTACATGATTACTTCCAAGCGAAGTCGTAAGACCCGACCCAAATCTAAACTACAGGCAACTCTTAAACGGTGTTGTAAGACCGAACCTAAATATAAACTATATGCAACTCTTAAGCAGAGCCACAAAGTCTCTACCTAAATTATAATAAGATTAAAATTTTGCATTTATCCACTTTAGTTTACTTGGGATCCCTGAGAGTAGGCAACCCTTGATTGCTAATCAAATTTCTTGGACACTAATTAATGGTTGTTAGTGTTAGTAGATTGAAACTCACGATATACTAGGGACGATGGAACCATGTGATCTTGATCAAGTGTACTTTTATCCCCCACAACCAATAATAAGACACTTACATACTTCTACACTTCTTGCGCAACTAAATATAGTTTCATCCTTAATCGAGAGTGCTCTTCTACACATTAGGTGGGGTAATTAACTATGAGGTCTTGCGCTCATAAAAAGTGGAACCTCAGAGAACTAAATAAACCCTGATGTCGATCATAAGGGGAAATCTAGTTAATTTAAATTTCAATCTACCTCGGGGAACAATGGGACCTATTTGGTTTGTGAAAGCGGGGTTTGTACCATAGTGAGATAATATTCACCTTTCCTGAGGGTGAAAACTGTGCAATTAGGAATTTGGGTTAACCAATTGGGTTCTTATTTGTAAACACTCAATCATGGGCCTTGATTAGTTGGAAAGCAGTTTCATAGTGCACTAAGAAATTATGAATGTGTATATGTGCAAGTGTCAGTAGATTTTGTGTCATAGTGTTGACTAATATATGGTTTGATTCTTAACAAGCCAAAAGGTGGAATTATTCATAGTGTTGACTAATAAATTATTTGATTCTTAACAAGTCAAAGGTGTGGAAACATTAAGACCTGGGAATATGCTAGAAAGTCTCAACATTTATTATTTCAATTTCATGTTTTATTAATTATCGAATGCATATCATCTTATTATTGGGCCATTAATGTTTCCAAGCCGGCTTAAGAATGATCTCAAACTGTTTTGAAATAATTCATTTTCTTACTCAAGATGGCTCAATTTTCACAACGAAGCCATTGTGGATTAAGTTAAATTCAAATATCTGGAGTTTGTGGGGTTATGTCTCACCAATTTGATTTGTTGTCAAATGTTTGTAAGGATCCTTGATAAATCATAAAATATGGATGTGCATGCCATGTAAAATTAAGTTAGAAAAAAATAATAAAAAGTTTAGAAAAGTGGAGTTGTAAATGATGACATTTCATTAATAAAAAACCAATAAATGCTGTATATTCTTATAGTTGAGGTCTTGCAACTGATTTTTCATTCAGTCAGATAATGAACTTAATCTAACGATTGGTGAAGTAATAAATTAGTCAGCTAGTTCAACTAAATTGATTAGTAAAGGCTGAGCAATTTTTAAGAATTGATTTTTATATAAAAAAATTAACCATTATGTATCTTTCCCGTCAATCCCATGTGGCATTCTATACAAAGCACCTTTTAAACAAATAATAATGCAATTTAATAATATATGAAAAAATAATGATATGAAACATTATAAAATTTATTGAAATTTTCTCTCATCATAGTTGGCTGTAGACGAAGTCAGCAAGCGTTGGTGTAGTAAGGTGACAGTGGGCAAGAGATTATAGTGGGGTGACATTAGTTGGGTGAGCATAATCGAGTGATTGGTTGGAGGATGGTGGTTGAGCGATAGTAGTTGGAGGATCATATTCGGGGGATTATGATCAAATGATTGGACCTAACGATGGTGGTTGGATGACCATAGTCGATTCACGATGATTAGAGGACCTTAGTCAAGAGATGTTAGTCGAATGGTCATAGTTAGGTGACGGTGATTGGAGGGTTATAATTGCGTGATGATGGTCAGATGGTCGTAGTTGGGCGATGGTGGTCAAAGAGTCTTATTTGGATGATGTGTTTAGAGGACTATATTCTAAGATCGTAGTTGGGCGATGGTAGTTGGAGAATTGTAGCCTTGCAATGATGGTTGGTGAATCAAAGTCAGGCGATGTTGGTCAAAAGATCATAGTTAGGGGATGTTGGTCTAAAGATTGTAGTTGGGTGATAGTATTTGGAGGATCTTGGTTCATTGGTGGTTGGATGATAGTTCTGACATTTGGAAGCCTTTTAAAATCCTCAACTTTTTTGGAGCTACAAAATTT